CAATTCCTCACCCTCCCCGGGAGAGCAGTTCGCAACTCCAATCGTGAATAGCGCCCGAATTATTTCTTTTTCCTTTCTAAATCACGGAAACAAACAAAACTCGCTTATCTCCGAAATATCAATCTTAGAATCATGACACATCCAAATTTATTCCTNTCGTTATTTCCATTGAAACCTAACAAATGAAACAAAACCGAATTTATCAAGATACCAATCTATAAGAATATAAACAAACTCGCTCGACTCTCTCACAGCGGGACTTCCGTGTCCACTGTAAAGAGAGATATGGAAAACGACGCGTTTACTGTTGCGTCACACCACAGCCCGACCGTATCCATGGGCCAGGACGTAACAATATATATATATTACCATGTGTGCAACAGCTTTTTTATTTGCAACTACATTAGTATTATTATTTTTGTTCTGTAAATTCTAATCTTCTGCTGCAGCCGTCTGAGGCGCGTTGCAGTTTTCCTTGTACTAATTATGTATATTACCGTGCGCGCAACAACTGTTTTATTTTTTTTTTTTTTGCAACAACAATGGTGTTATTTGTTTTGTAAATTATTGCGATTGTTGCGCTCTCCCTTCTTTGATCACCACCCGCGCGGCAATCAACAGTTATTTAATATCAGTTNGCGCGCGAAGACGATGACGTCGCTCGCGTTGTCGCTGACGTTTCTCGCGCTCTTCGTCGCGTTTGCGGCGTCGACGTCGATCGCGTTGACGAGGTCGATGACAAATACAACAAAGAGGAGCGTTGTCAATGGAAGAGAGACCGCTATCGCGTTCCTACGCAAGTACGGTTACCTAGAGGTTAACGTCAAAAACTCATTGATTTCCGAAAGCGCGTTGAATCACGCTGTCTCGCTTTTTCAAGAATTCTACAATCTATCTATAAATGGTAAATTAAACGCGGAAACGATGCGCACAATAAACAAACCACGTTGTGGAGTTCGAGACATCCAGACGCGTTACTCGAACGAGGAGTACATACTACTGTGTCCAAAAAGTAAGGTGACATTGCATTTTAAATTTCCCGCGCGCACGGATTTGGAGGAATAAAATTTTTTTTAGGTTGGTAGGACTGTCTTTGACATCCAAGAGAAGTAACACGTCAAAATATCCATTAGTGTTTGAGATACGCATTGTTTTGTGAGCTGCTAAAAATGAATTTCTCGTTTTTTGCCATGTCTACATTTGTTGAGCAAAGAATTTGCATTAAATTTTGTTTGCGGAATCAAATTTCTGCTGCAGAATCGTTGCGGATGCTGCAGAATGCCTTT